TGTATAAAACTCCTTTTTTGTAGCACACACGTCATCTACGCGAGGTGTTGGTGGAAGGGACCACAGCGAAAGACGTAAAGTTTACGCAGGAAAGGAAGGTCCCGGCGGTTGGCGGGGGACCAATCTGAATTCGAAACTGGACTGAAACAGGAAGCAGTGTGAACAGACGGATGAAATGAACCTTGGAGGTTCATGGGAAGTAAATGTGTGAAGAAGTGTGATAAGGACGACAAAGAAGTAAAAAAAATACGATGAAATTCGTGAAAATAAGGAGAATCATTCGATATAGTTAGATAAATATGCTAGCGGCTATGCGCTTCGAAGTTCAGCTTATGATGTCGATCATTATTCCGGACTATACAGGGTGCGCCAAAAATATAGCGACAACACATAAGCACACAATTTGGGCCAAAATTCATCTTTTTGCTGCTGTCCTAATTTTGACATTGTAGTGTAGCCCTGTTTATACTTATCTTGTTTGACCAAAACATCTTTGATTGCTACGACGGTTTGAATATTGGATACTGCCGCCGTTCCTAAAGCATTGAACTTCAGTGTCGAGCGTTTTCGGCATGCCAGAATTATTGGTGTACATCCGAGTGCTACCAATAGAACTATTGAACGCTATAACGAACGAGGAAAATGCAATCGTTCTGGATGAGGAGGGCGTGTTTCTGGAAGAAAGCAAACCGTCCCTTTTGGCGCTTCTGCTGGGGCCGTATGCTAAATATTAGAGAAGAAATGGGGTCCCCGACGGTCAACAGACTGCTTCAACTGTGTAGGTCCTTGAAACCGCCTCAATTTGATGCTTATCTCAGGACTAAGCCTTAAAGAGAGGACGGACTTGCGAAAGAGCGCAGGTCAGTCCTCACTTCGAAGCTGTCCTGGGGTGAGCAAACCAGCAATTCTGTCGGAACTGCTAGACCAGCTGCAGCACATACGTCATTACTGTCCCACCGTGCCGACCAAGTTGAAGTAGTCCATCGACCGTCGGGGACCCCATCCCTTCCCCAACATTCAGCATACGACCCCAGTAGAAACGCCAAAAGGGCTGGTAAGGTGGTGCGCGATAGGATTCACAAGTAGTTGGCGCGCTCAGTTCGCAGAATATCACGAGAGATGGGACTCGAGGAAACTCTTCGGGACTAATCAGAGCCATTTGGTGTCCTAAACTTAATTTTTGTTCAAATATCATCACTGGACTTCCTGTCTAGTAGGAGCTCCCATTCACAAGGCACAGGTGGTGCAGAATTGGTGCAAAAGAATTTCTGCGGCTTCATCAGCTTAAACGGAGGCAGGTCAGCACTTCAAATTTAAAATAGATGGATTATGCTGTCGGATCGGTTCTGGAACCTGAAGCTTGCATAAAAATTCTTATTTTCAGGTATTTGTGAGTAGAATCGCTCCAGAACAAGTAAGACGAGCCCCGCGCAACACATTGTGTGCCACAGTCCATGGTTCCTGGGTGCCTCTCAAAGCACGTGTAAATATAACCAAGGAATTTCGGGAAATCGGCGAATGTTAACGATTCAGGATGGAACTGTGAACGTTACTGCATTTTTGGTTTCTCAAAATTGTAGCATGCTCATCCTAGGTAACTCGAAATCGCTGTCGCCATAATTTTGGGGCACACTGTAGATGAAAAAAGGGCAAAGCGGCCAGCATCATTACTCCCTTTCAGTGCCGCACATAATAGGTTGCCGAATGAGTTCAAGCGACTTTTATTTCGTAGAAACAGCAAATCTTGGGTGAATGAACGCAAAACGAGTTTATACGATGAATCCTACTCAATGGCGCTCAGATAGTTGGGAGCTTTTTGAACTTCTGCGGACGAAACTCACATGTTAGGAGGTGAACCACGGGTCAAACCATTTATGCAACCCACCATTGTTCTCGAAGAAAAAAACCTCGAAACGCTTGTACAACGCCGCCAGAAAATGATTTTATGCTGCGTTCTTATCTGTCGTAGGAATAATAAAGGTGGGGAAGAACCTTCGAACCCAACTCCTGGATGACCATTTGTGCCTTGGAGATGAAGACCGTTCGTGTTCGTGCAGTAGCGCTCCGCGGGCTGTACTTTTGAGCATTTCCCGTGAGTTTCAAATGAGGAGTAGTGATTTGGGACAGCAGCCAGTCGCTTGGGCATATTTTAGAGTAGAACAATTATCCACTTGCATGCCATCAAATTCAACGGAGCATTCAAAGCGACTCGAATCAGTGTTGAGAGAGAGCCATACTATTAAGGGGCCTTTTCACAAATGAAGCTTTCTCTCTCATAGAGTTGATATTGCCAGCTGCTTGAGGTGGAGTGGTACTTCCATTGCATTTGAGAAGCAGAAGGAGTCGGAGATGTTCGACTTATCCTTTATAGTTCGCTATAGTGTATCAAAAAGTGCATGTACATCTATGTCAGAATTCGATAGAGGAAGGACAGCTTAAAGCAATTATATATAGCGTAGCATTTTTTGCTGGCTAGATATTGAAAAACTAGTGAAAATTACGAGAAAAAAAAGCTAATAAATATCTGGCAGTCCAACATTTTACTTCCATGTAAGACCAGACAGGAAGTTGCGAGCATTTTTCTGTATCTTTGGATCGAGATGGCTAACTCATATTCAGCTAAACGTATTGGTCCTCCCGAGCACGCCTGGTATCTTATATTCAAACTGAAAGAGATGAAAGAATTGGCTGGTTCGAAAGCAGCTTGATCCGCTGACAATGGAGCCGTAGCGGCACGTCTTGCCCCTGCACCATTCTCAATCTGACTATAATATTTTGACGGCAATGTAAAACAAATAAGCAAATGAGGATGAGATACGTATTTATGCCACCTCCTACCTTCTTATGCTTATGCTTCACCTCACCTTTTTATGCTTCCCACGAAGCTTTTGCTCTCAGAAGAAATTCAAAGCTCTCCTCGTCTGACTGATACATGTAGCAACCACGCTCTTTTAATTCTTCTAAGTAAAGAATATTTATGGTTGCTATGGGCCTTTACAACATCCAAACACGCTTACCATCCTCTTCTTCCTAGTTGTAGACTTTCTCGCGCGTCTATAGAACACTCCATGCTTCATGAATACAAATGTTGAAATGGAGGGTTCGAGTAGACGTTTGCAGCAACTCGAGCATCCCTTCTTCCTTCTCTTGTTTCTTTCCCTTCGATCCCATTCCGTTCCACCAAATAAATCCGGATAATTACTATCAAGCGCGCAGCCTCGTCCGATGAATAAATGAAGCGAAAGACATCAATTTTTCAACAACTACATATCAAATCGTTTTGCGGATCCATCCATGGGACGCATACTTGAGAAGCTTTCAGAATGCTCACCCCGACAAAAACACGCATTTATTTCGGCCGCCTTTGAAGGGTTCGCAGTATGGCTCGACAAGCGCACCGGCGAATGACGACAAAGAGGGCACAACAAGTTTGTCGATGACACCACGAAAGGAGGCACAAGGGGCTATCGATGGCATCGTCGTCGAGAGCAAGACGAGCCACATGCGACTTTTCCGAAACATGACGAATGACTTTGGCTGTGGCGGCATCGAAGAAATATGGACGACGGATCGACTCTGACATCCACCAGCTTTGTCCGCGTCCCGCAAATGACCTAAGAGAGTCTCCATGCACAGCCCTCGATGAGCGAACTTCCGAAGAACACGACTTTCTGCACCTGTCAGGTCTCATCAAGTATAACTGGAGTAAGAAGCGATGGAGGTGTAACTATGATAGCTTAGAAATGCTCACAACTATGAAGAAAAAAAAACTACGATACACATATATAATATATAATGTGGAAGCTTATGGAATGTGGTCCCTTAATGAGCACTGAAAATGCTACATACATAGTAGGTTGCTTATGCCCGCATTTGATCCCAAACGTACTGAGCCATCTCTTCTGCAGTTCACGGCAGTTTCTTGAAATATGTGAAAGAAAAGAGTTCATCATCGGTTTTCCATATGTATTAGTGCATAACCATAGATCAAAGAAAGAGGAGATGAATGTCGTCCTTCCTACGAAACGGTGTCTTGGCAACAGCTTTTTGAAAGTCCACAGATATTATCGCATTAAAATGTCCGAGCCACATACCCATAAAATCGCATGCATGCACTTCTAGACAGTACTGCTTCAACAAAGCTTTCATGAGCGCGGTTAGTTGGGAAGCATAAAGATGAAGCATTCGCCGTTGATCAATCCCCTTTTGGGATGCGGCACGCATTCTACTTCCATTTGTACATTCGTAGTGACGTTTGAATGCGACGTGGCCTATACAACGAATTGCTAGGGCCAGCCGATGTACAAGTCAGTGTTATTATAATCCCAGACAATTCTGGTACCATTCAACCGACCCCGGAGGGATGGAAGGCTTGGTTGGCCCGTGCGACTTATGAGCCACGATTTGATCTCTGGACCGCTCGCGTGGTGAGCGTGTCACTTGCCACTACACCACTTTCGCCCTGGTTAGTTGGACAAGAAATGAATATAACAATGAAAAACAAGCAGTTAACCAAAAATGAATCTGATGGTGAGTTCGCAAGCGAGTCATTCAGATTCACTTTCACTTCAGTGAAGCCCAGCAGGGAACAGAGCATAAGAACAAGGCAGGTCAACCGTACTTGACAGAAGTTTCTTCTATATTAAGATTACATTCTATAACGTCGGAAGTAACCGACAGTGGACCAGGACTGATGAAAGGATTTTCGAGGTTCCCCTTGGACTGGTATGAAATCGGAGAGACGTCTCTAGCAGCTGCTCGTGACGCACTTACACAGATTTGTTAGGCAATTCGAGTATCAGGTAAGTGAGGTGAAGCAAGACACGTGCAACGCCAAGTTAGAAACGTGATTGTTTTATCGAAATGAGGAAAGAATGTGCGACACTGCGAGAACACATGGCCCCGAGCATAGCCCACGTTAGTCAATTAGCCCTAGCTCATTATCTCCTCAAACCATATCCTTGGTCATTGTCTTGAAATAATCTGCGTTCACGACAAGACTAGGCTAGACCTGTAATTATTAACGTTAGAGGAATTCTGATCGCGCAAGATTCAGTCGTCTCAGCATCTCAGCGACCACACTCACATCACAGACGCCCCCCCCCCCACTCAAGTCCGGTACGTGGGGAGCATACATTTCCTATCAAACAGCGATGAAACAGATACACGTGAAAAAAGCATGTGCTCCGTTCAAAATTTCACCAGAGGATCGAAGTAAAGTATAAGCCTACTGCCTTCTTCAAAAATGAAAGCAGGAAACTGTAGTCAATTCCTCATACAGACGCCGTGATGGTGGACGCGTAGTTACTAGCCTTGCTTGAATCATCGAGTTAATTTGCCATCATGGATAGAGAGAGAAGGCAGATGAGTAGGTAGGTAGCTATTTCCCTCAGCCTTCGGTTCCGGGTTTCCGAATTTTACTGCGCTTAGTTGAAATCCGATGGTGATCGATTGTGCAATTGTAAAATTCTCTGAAGAAAGTCCAAAGGGGGTAGAGCGAGCGAAGAAATTTCAAAAGATTAACTTGCCTCTCACCTAATTTAACGACGAGTCATTTAGGTTCTTGTCTAGTGATGCTTCTGATGGCTCTAAAACTCCCCTATTATCCTAACTCTGACTCAGATTTGTTGAGCGCGCAGCCCTATAGGAGAAGCGCCACAGCAGCTGTGCTTATTGTGGAATATAGACGGTGCGTTTGTTGACACCTGGGTGATTCGGGCTCACTTGCGGAAAACTGACACTTCTTCGATGCGCCAAACGTCGCCGCCAGCGTCACACATGAAAGAGGTCGTAATGTCCCACTAAATAAAAACAACAACTCACCAAGAATTGGCGAACTTTGTGCTCGCGGCGTCGCACCATACTTGAACACGCTGGCAAAGCATCCACGAATGATATTGTTACCAATATGTTGACCTAGAACATCTGCATATTGAACTAATCCAGTATGCATTTTGCTCAGGTGGATTTCCGTAAGCACTAAAATCATCTGCTCTTCTACTTTATAGCTATACAGTATATGGCGAAGGGGAGGGGCAAATATTTATGTCCGGCAGGTACAATATGAATGTCACTAATTGCAAGTAATATGAACGAATACCACTAGGGGAGCTCATCTTTTCATTTCCACTCCTTTAACACGTTGACGACAGCCCCTTATGCCTGTACCTTGGCAACTTTTTGTTTATTTTTTTTTCACAATCGTCATAACCTCTTCAATAATTCCACTACTGGTAATTGACTCATAGTTTTTTCGGATAAAATGACGCATGCACACAGTTTTGAAATATGAAAAAGACCAAATCAACCATAAAAACTAGCCAGAATCGGATAAAATTCTGACGCGCATGCGCGTCATGCTGTCGTCAACGTGTTAAAGTACTACAGGTCCACCTAGAAACTTGCTCATATCTTCTTTTGAAAGCATCTGTGCATGTCATGAGTGAGCTTGCATGGCAAAGCCTTAAGTGAGTCTGCTGAAATAGCGCTGAACCTGGTAGAAAAGGTATGGTAATTCAGGGTTCCTGATTTCCTTGAGCCAAACGCACCATTTAAACCCCCTGATGTGCTTGATTTGCCCTACATTTCGCTGTAAAAAGAAAGCCTGGATACCAATTTGATACTAATGTGAACTATTCATGAACTTTGACGGGAACCTCACCAATGTTGACCTATTCAAAATGCCCTTCATTTTTTCATTTTTTATTCAAATGCTTAGTCGTTTTATAACTAAAATACCCTTCCAAGTGCTTTAAGAAGAGGATGGAAGAGGAACACGTGGCGCACTCCATATGAAATAAATGTGAATCATTTTACGATGTTAACGTTCCCTTAGGTCTGCTCCGCATTTCCGAATAGGAATCTAGCGAAAACTTGTATTGACAATTTATTTATTTGATACGAAGTTATGTTTTCGTGCGCTAAGCTGAAAAGGGATACGTGAAACAGCGACTGGATCATGAAAGGGAAATGTCTAGGGTTAGATTTTTGAGTTCCGCGTTATCACGGAGATATGCTAGATTGCGACGATCTTATGTGTAGTTGGAACACCTGCAGCTGACTGAAGTCCATTAATTGCTGTCCTCGCTTTTTGTTTTCGATTTGTTGCCTAAATGGTGTTCGTGCACTTGGAGGACACGAAATGTGGGTGATGTGAAAAACAGTCTTGGAGCTTTTTCCGGCATCAAATTAAGGAACTTACAGAGTACGAATCAGTTTGAATCGGAACATAAAATGGCATAATGAATTTTAGTCTATCTGGAAGTGTTTGCAAATTATGAAGTAGATGAACGCATGCAATTGATCATCCGAATTACGCGATTCAATTACCCGCTACACTGCTCACATTCACCCTTGTTCAAGCTGGCGATAGAAGCAAACGGTAATTTACTTGTGCTCATTTGGTGGTGGACGACATCTGTTCCAATTCTGTGAACATTGAGCAAGTGGGCGGTGCATCCCATTTTTCTGGTAGTTTTCACGCCTCGTTTGAGTTCAGGTCCCTCATTTTAGCGATGAACATTGAAGATTGATGAGAAATCGTTGAGCGTGAGCTTATGCTTGAAAAGAAGGCTCGAAGTGTGCTCTCAGTGAGGGTCTGCGCATTCGAACATAAGTGGGCACTTCTTAAGCCAGTGAACAACCCACGATGAAAAGCTCGCTCAAACTCGAATCAGGCTCTCCTCGTCCTCCTCGTTGTCGTCGCCGTTATCCTCACACATCCTCACCTCTCGCACATACGTATACAGCGTCCTTCCACTTCACGATCACACTTGAGCACATGCGGTCCCGTGTATAGACGCACAAAGACATTTGTAGCACATTTGTTCACGAATATTACTAACGAAAACTCCCTCTATAATCGGGTCCACTAAAATAAACCAATACTATCATCAAACAGATACGATTTTGCTCGCACAAGGTGAAGTGGAGCAACATTTCACCCTCTGTTTCGAAATCCGACTAAGTCTGATCGAAGTAAGCCATCCACCCGAATTATTTATGTATTCTGTTTAATTACTCTGAAGGCTTGACAACTTGTTATCGCTCGAAACTAATTAAGAAGATGCTGCAGACAAAACTTCAGCTGTTAGTCTTAAACTCCAGCCCAAGGGAAATGGCTCGATGGTGAAAAAAGTCTCCCATCTCGAACTGGCATCCAACAAAAGCAGAAGAATTATCTTGTGAATCTTAGCCATATGCTTGGAACGACTCCATTGACACAAGTAGCCGTCTCTGGGGATAGTTTTGAGCAGATATGTCAACCTTCAGTTACCTTTCTATAGCCTCCCGTCGAAGCTCCCACTACGGTGATGTCAAGAGACTCAGTGCTGTGGGGGTATGGACAGCAAGTAGACTAATCACAATAAAACGGCCGAAATTGAAACGAGAGGCTCGGGTGCTGCCTGAAGGGTACTCGACAAATGGAAATAGTCATTATCGTCAAGGGGATAGCTAACCCGCTCAGCTGATATCTGCCCTGATCATTTCAGGCTCTCGTATTGCCGCACGCGCCGATACTGTTGTTTATCTAGCAAGTTGTAGCGCGCGATATCCGGAATTGTAGCGCTCCAGTAATACGTCTAGAGTAAATCTCTTGGGAAGTGGATGTTGTCATATATGGACCAAACTGATCATCTAGCAACACAACCTCGACACACCAAAATTAAGCGCGGCCAAATCAAATTTGATTGAGGCCCAACTATCGCGCTCAAGTAGTGACACGCAGCATGGATTGCTAACCGATTACGGAGGGGTTTTCACGAAACTACTCCAGATTTGATTAGACCGGAAACTGGTGATTCCCTATCGTTCACCACCCAATCGCACCACAATCGAGGTTGATTTATCGGAAGTCGGCGGCTTTTCTGATTGTAATAAGTAATCGATCAAACTGTCCGCTGAGCTAACTGGCCCACGCGGACATTTAGCGCGTAGTGCTGATATCCTTGGACTATCCCATTACATTCTCTACCCGGTGCATATAACAAACATCCACAGACCCATACCCACTTCACCCAGTACACAAAAGGGTCGATTATCCATATCGTTAGAGTACTATAAAAAGTGTGCTTCTCATTACTCGAGATCTTTTCCGCACACACAGCTGATGTGTGGAGCACAGCAAGATGTATGCTAATACCACATGAAGAAGTACGCATATTTCCGACTCTCAAGTTATTTGTGCCTTGAGGGCGTTTCGTCGACGGCGATTTAATCGTGGCCGCAAACTCTTGTGCTTTCATGTCAGACAAGTCGATGCTGGAAGGTCTGCGCTCAGCAGGCAGTAAAAAATACTGAGCTAACGCCTGAGCTAACTCTACGCGCTAAGCACAACACTTAATGACCCACAGACGACTCTCTGCGACACTCCGAAATTAGCATTACCAAGAAACCTTCTTTCCTAGTTCACTTCAATATAATACTTTGCTAGAACATTCAATGGATACTTTTTATTTAATATCCTTCAATACACATTTTTCTCAATTATGAGCCCTTTCACATGTTCAAGCGTGACACTACAGTCGAATGAAAGGAGCAACAAACCTGCCAGTATCCTTGGCTCAATTACCGTAACGCACATCGAGTTACTACACGGGGCCATTCCAATATTCACCTTTGCGGGAATTTTGAAGCAGTGGTCCGTGAAGTTCATCGGACGATAGTAGACCTGCAAAAATGAATGATGTGTTGTGTGCGTGAAAAATCCGTCGTCAAGGTGTCAATCCTGGCACCTGACCCACACGCTCACACACGTAGTCTCCTCTCGTCCCCGTCCGCTTGTCTTTTCACCGAGGTAACATATCCTGATTGATGCGCGTTCAACTCAGAGCCGTGAAGTGAAGCTCAAGGTCGGAAAGAGTAACTGATAAGTGATTCGTGAAGATAGATACCGTAAATAGTTGGTAAAGCCCTCTGGCGGACAGGGTCAAGCGTACGATAGGAGGATGGGCAGGGTAGAGGATGTGAAAAGTTGGTCCTACGTAATGAGCCTAAAAGACTATCTATCACAGTATTACCATCACTCTGCCCTGCTCTCCTCACTCCACCACGTTTGCCACCATGTTTGACTTGCTTATCGGTACGGGAGAGAATCGTCTTTTACACTCAAGGAAGAACCTTGATGCAAGGACAGCGGCTGGAAGATAATGGGGTGGGGTTGAACCATATGCAGTTTTTGAATCTGTGCCAGTTTTACTGTGGCACCTATCGTCTGAATTCTACGCACTTATTGTGTAAAAAGCCAAGAAGCAGCCAAATACTAGCTTTGTGAGCTTACAAAGGGCTCCCCTTTAAGTTGTTTAATTTTCCGTCGATTGAGCATGATTGCCTCAATTAAGCTTTTTAAGTAATCCCTCCATTAAAGCCTCATTTATGAGCCTCAGTGAAACCCTTTTGCAGAGTACTTGAATTGGCAGCAAATAAAATCCGCCACTATCACTTCAACTATCGCATAAAGAGATTTAGACGAAGCCATACAAATATGGCAAAGAGCGACACAACCGAGGCGTCATACTTAGTACATACGCTTCAGAGTTGACGATAGTACGAATATTATAAAGCGTATAAGACAAAATCCTTCAATTAGAAGTTGAGGCATAGCAGTGGTGAGCAGCAAATATGTCGTCGGCCTTAGGTTACCAACAGAGTTTAGCCATAGCATTAGGGAAGCAGCATGGTCTATCCTCATTAAAGGAGCATCCAGCAACGTTTTACACTCTGAATCGAAGCCCATACGACCGACTTTTATTGTTGGCCGAAGTCCTAATACGAAGCGGAAAACTGCGTTGCTTAAAGAATCACATAAGGACAGACTTGGAGGCCATTTATGCGGCGAACAAAATGGAAATCCGATGGATGAAAAAATATTGTCAAACCGCTATTCGACCTCTCCAGCCTCTTTCAGTACATGACGAACACAATTATTCCAGGCATCGTGGAGCACAATTATTCTAGGCATCATCAACCTTCAAAATTAATCAGTTAGGTAAGGTAGTCATAATTTGAGCTCAACCCCTTCGGCCCTAGCGATGGCAATTGCCACCATTAAATTCAAATGATTGCATTGCCGCTGCAACAGCATGGTTTTTCTAATCCTGCTACAGGTTGCTTTAGTCAACCTTCCCCTTCCTAATTATGGACTAAATCTGCCATTTCATTGTGTGTTGCTGTTAGTATTACAAGTATTCGTGTACAAGTGCAACAATGAATCGGCGCTGCCCCCTTATTACAAACTTTCTCGGCATAACTATGAAATTTGGAACTGTTTCGAAAGCAGCTTAAAAACTAAGAAGGTGGGCCAATTTTTGAAGCTTCTTAGTTTCTTTGTTTGCGATCGAATAACTTCCAAATTTTGCCATAATAATACTTTTATGCTCACAAGTGATAAACAATAGCTAACAGAAAAATTTCTCCACGGGGAAAAATTCGGGTCCAAAAGGGTCAAATGGAAAACATGCCATATGACGGCTACACCCAGTTCACGTAACGACTAGCGCCTTTAACTGTTTTGGTGCTCATCCTACAAAAATTTACTCTCAGTGCTCAGAGCATAAGATGCGAGTGGATTCCAGGAATATCACAGGTTTTTTCACAGCATCAAATGTTTGAGTACAATCTCGCCATACAATTGCCATTTTTGAAGAACCTGCTTCACGTCAATTGTTCAATAGCGCCACAAATGCAAAACAGCTATGCCTTCCGCCTTTGGTTGCTTTCTGGCCGCAGCTTCAACTAACGTGTTCGTTCGAGAGCCACCACAGCCACAAGGTCGTGAACCTTGCGACCTTAGAAGGCAGCTCGATACGATGCCGAAATCAGCACTGCGCCGGAAGTGATATATCGCATGAGACTCTCCAAGGAATAGACGCCCTGCCGCGCACAATAACTATATCATCTTTATTGACGAATTCGGACTAGTTTGGCCTACTGGAGTTGCAAACACATGAACGAAACGAATACTTTAATCTTTCATTAGTTCACTGTCCGCGCCTATAATGAAAGCCCATTGAATATCCGCAGCAGGCTAGGGAGTCATTTTTTACACCCATCTCTATGGAAGTTTTTTCTGTGAAACCCACAAAAAAGCCAGCAGTAATCAGCAGTAACACTAACGAAAAAATGTAACATGGCAAATTCACGGTTCATCACTTAATGGCATCAGCTGAGCAGACTGAAGCAGGTTACAGAAAAACACTTTTACTCGTGTTGATAACTCTACATAAAATCAAGAGCTTATAAATAATATTTATGAAATGAGATGGAATCGTTGAGAAGGATTCACAGTACTTCCAGAACATCAGTTATCCAGACAGAAAAAAAAGTAGCCGAAACGAATGTGTGCGGGGCAGTGCTCCTCTGAGACCACAACGGCTTTTGATGGCGTCGAATGGAGCGCCAAAAATTGTGCTGCACAGTTGTTCATAGACTCTAGCAAAAACGACTAAGGCTTTTGAACTCGTTATAGAACAAAGTATACTTTCGCACTGCCTTTAGAAATGCTCGACTTTAGAAGTACAATAGCCCAGAATGAATAATAAAGTAGCACAATAAGAAGTGTTAGGCGACGCCTAGGCTGTGAACATTTAGGCTACCCGTCATTGACCACTGTTTATAGCAACGCATGGTAAAGGAGTAATAGACCAATATTTCCTTTATGAGTCTTGTAATGGAGCGATGAAGTAGTAAATCTCGAATTGATATTTCCGCATTCAAGTATTAGCAAAGGGAAATCCGCGACGCAATTGGCGATGGCCAGCTTCGATTTTCGGGACAATGAGTGGAAAAATTATACCGACAGATTTCACATGATTATCAATTCTATACATGCTACGCAGTCTGTATTACTTTCAAGCAAATATTTCCAATTCTTGGCAGTCGCGAAATAAAATTCAGAGATAAAAGCGTCCACAAACTCAACTGACACACATGCTTAGCACACAGACACAGGGGCCGTTTGTTACAACACTACAAAATGAAATTCAATCCGAAACGGCACCCGTCGCTTCAGCGAGGAGCTCTTTCACTGCCGGGATATCATCGTAACAACGGCGTCAATGTATGGAATTAAAGAGGAAGATGATGCGCCATATCGCTGGTGCCATCAACAGATCAGATAACAGCTTAACGACGTCTAACGAAAATGTGCATAGCGAAAAACGAAGAATGGCCAAAGAAGATCGGCAAGCATGGGCAGTTATTTGAAGAATTCCAACGAAAGACATTCGGCAGCAAACGCGCTCAGTCGTAACCTCAGAAGATCGCGCATCAACATGATAATTCAATAGACAACGTTTGCATTCGCTGACTTGGGCCACCACCAACGATCAGATTCGAAATAACCAATGACACAAACGCTAACCTCGTCCAGATAAGGCCAATGTAATAGAAAATCTTCAGACATACAGCTGTAACAGTACTTGGTCGTCGAGCTGAAAAAGGGTGTGAAGTTTTTTTTTTCGAAGAGATGACGAGGAAGTGTTTTTGAAGAGGTCAAAGTTTGACAGGGAAACTTTCAGCTCTTCAGGGTGCAGCTCACCTGAAATCCATATAATCAGCGGCAGTGACTGGTCGTGACAAAATATGGAATAGTGCTAAAACGACGACAAGGCGTGGTTGTCGAATAAATGATGCGTTCTGATGATGTTGCATTAATGACACACCAGGCGTGTGAACGCTGGTGGCCGTTGGCCTTGAAAGACCATACAGCGTTGACGGCACGATGCAGTGTGATCTACCACCTGTAGGCGACGGCGACGACGACGACGTGGATGGCGATGACGATGATGGTGTTGACGATGACGGTGACGATGAGGTAGGCCGCCGATGGTCGCACAACGAGGACACGGGTACACTAGCGAGGCGGGTCGCCGTCGGCACCGCCCGCGCGCCACGCCCCAATCAAATCCGAATCCCGGCGATAGGAGATGGAGACGGGCCCATAATTCGCCATAACAATGTGACCAACACACGATCCGCGTCAATGCCTTTTTTCATTTTTTAACTCGGCACCGCCGACCTTTTGCTAAGCATCCGCGTGACACTGCAGAAATTATAAGATTCATAATCTCGGTAGACGAATCTTTAACTCTTCGTAATTCAGATATCTGAAGGGATAGAGAAAGCACAGATCTCAATTCTTAATTGCACTTACAGCAACTACGACGCATAGTTTACATAGTGAAGGAGTTAGAAGAAGCGGATCAGGGAAGTAATAACAGAACGCTTTCACTAGTGTGACCCGTAGCACAACTGCCCGGAAGACGAGAGATCCAGGAATGATTCACGCCTGTGGCACAGCTTTTAGCGATGTTCGGGCTTCCTAGTGGTAGCTCTCAGTAGGCTTTTGGAGTGTTAATGAAACCTAAAGGTTTTGTCTGAAGCATGAAAGATTCAAGTGAATGCACACCCGGCTCAGCTCCTCTTCCGGCAACAATACCACAATGAAGTTATTGAAAGAGGTTTTATAACAGAGTCACTCAATAGGGAGCGCAAGTGCTCGGATTCTGACCTACTCTATAACAAGGTTCATATTCTGCAGCTAAGAATTTTTTGAAAAGTGTTAGACAGAGACCGACACAGAAATTACTGTTTACCATGAAAACACTATACTTGCAAGAGCTGATGAAAAGGCCAAAAGAACACACAATGTCATCTAGGCAGGCATTCTACATCTCACAACGCAGACTGCATGGAGCTCTACCATAGCTTCTTAGTGTTCCTTCTGGTGTATTCAACGCGATAAGACCTAAGGGAAGCACCTCCATGTCAGAATTAGGTGCTTGTCTGCAAATTTCAATGAACATAACTTGTTCGTCATTTTGATGCTGGTTACTCCTTTATAGACAGTCAGATGAGCACAGGAGTAGAGACAAGTGAGCCACGTATCCTGTGCATAGTCTGGGCAGCAGCGATTCTCGCTTAGATCAATCAAGCTTTCGATTCCCGGATCAAACAATTGCCATCGGACCAGCCTGGCATGCCGACAATATGGGCTCGAGCAGTGACTGACCCTGAACGTCATTATGCTTTTTTTGCACTGGAGTGTAATCACGACTCTCAATGGCAGTCATGTGCGTGGCGCATTCTACATGGTACCTGAGGAACATTGGACATTTTTAAGTGATTGGTTCTATAGTTTTCTGAACATATACAAAGAAATAAATCCAGTGTTCCCGCTTTGTAAAGGGTGCATTACATGAAAGGGATAAATGCCTGAACACGCGTCCGAGTTAACTGTCTTGAGCACTGCACTACTACGTATAATAATCATGCACAGCGTGAATTATTCAAAGTAGGAGCTTAAGAAGTAAGTCAAAATCCAAAAGTAAATGCTTTCCCACCCTTCCTTACATTTCTCTTAATTTGCTCTGTTTGAGAGTATTCATAAACAATGTAATAGCAAAAGCGCTTGAAATTATTATTTTTATCTTCCCTAATATAATAGTTTGGCAGTTTCGATTGTTTTTTATTCTATTCGTAATTTTACCTTTCTAGTGGGATAGTAGAATACCAACTATTTGAATCGAATGGTTGACAAAACCCTTCGAGTGGTCCGTACGCTTAAGTTTGTTATGCGGTTGTGCTTACAACTTCACCATCAAGATTTCCAGCCCTCCCAGACAATCGCTATTGAGAGCTTTCCTAAATATTTCGTTGAGCGTATTGCGAAACTTTTTCTGAACTCGCGTTCCGCAATATGTTTCCTTTTCAAAATCTTAGCTCAGTACAGCGCATGAAATGAGCGTGTTGCCATAGACATCTTCGTGGCATGGTGCTCGATTCTGCTTCCAGCCTAAGTATGCAATATTACAAAGAAAAAGACAGAACCTGCGTTATAGCTTCAAAATGCCCAAGTTCTGCTAGTTTTTAGCACAAGAACGGTAAGGGAACGAATGCTCATCTCCACCATCATTTGGATAGCTTCATATATTTCACTGCACCTCGGAATCATAGGCGTTAAAAAGCTTATTTATTAATATAGCGAATTGTTGGACACATCCTATGTTCGAGGGAGTCCGTTGTTTTTTTTTCAAAGGTGTGGTACCTAATAAGGGGAATAGAAATGGGAGGTGCGGTTACCCTGGGTATTCGTTTAGTTTCGTTGCACTAGATTCAATCCTATGCAGTAGTAGAGTGGTAACCAAGTCTCTTACCAATGAAATATCTTGCGTATTAAGCTTTGCCCTAGTCTACAAAGCACCTATCTCTTCCTCTCTCAAGCTGAGAAGCTAAGAAGTTTTACTCTTTCCAGGACTTACTTAAAGCTCAGACGGTCACAGTCCGAAAATACCGCCATGAGAAGTGGAAAAAAGGCGGTGCCCGACAGGAACTTATTCAGCTGTGACAACTCGTTGAAGGGATGCAAGCCCGGCTACTCTTGAATTTTCTCGGTCATTTTTGGGCAAACCGTTTGCTGGTTAACTTGTTGAATATAGGAGCAAACCAGTGTGTTCAAAAGCCTACCAAATGTGCCATTTGAAGAGTCAGCCAAGCTTGTCAGCTTTCCTTCCGAGTCGAGAGCGCTACGTTTGACATAAAGTTTCTTCGGTGGAATACCTTTCGACTGCAACTTTTTTCTTTCAAATAAAATTAGTTCGAATTTTGATATGGTCTGCCAGCCTGCCTTCTTCTTTAACTTGTGTACCACTGTTGGTTGGAGGAAAGAGTTAAGATTGAAAACTTATCTTCTCTAGAAACTCGCGAATAACTCCAAGAAAATTTCCAATTATTGTAAAAGCTCAATTCAACAAAACAATCGACCGCATGATAAAAAAGTTAAGCAGACACAATAATTTGTTGATGACCGCCTCGACTCACAAGTTCTCAACAAAGCCACAGTATGGAATCGCATGATGAACTCTGTCTATTGAGACAAGTTTCGCAAGTTTTGTCCAAATTTTGCGGAACTCTTGCCCATATCTCTGGCTCCTTTTTCTGGCAATGGCTTTCCTACACGTTTTCAATGTCTTGTATGGCGCTCGAAACATTCTACTGAATTCGCTCCTCCGCGAAAAGCGCACTATTCTGTCGAAGCCACTCCTTCACATTAAAGGTGCGATGTTTTGGTCGCTTTATAGCTAGAAGGCCAAGTCAGGACCGTGTTGCAATACGCATCGATAGATAAGACCTTTTAAAACCCACGTGTATACGTATGCCTTCACAGATCGCGAAACCTTTGAAGTTGTGCGACTGTGAAGTGGTAGGAAATGGACGGGTCAACGCACGTCTAAACTGGAGATCCCCACTGCGTTCTAACGGCATCTGGAGCGGCGAGAGTAAATTAAGAGTTTGTCGGCAACGCCAAGTGGGGTCCTGACGAAGACGTCCCGATCCCAAGTGTCAACTGTCATCCGTGGAGCAAGGCGGAGACTCGGCGGTGGAGTCCGTAGAAAATGCGGGACCAGTGCACAGGATTTGAGAAGTGGTGAAAGCGGACTCATACCGTAGTTTTACTCGAAAGGTATTGCTCATGTATCCCTATGGCACTCCATCGTGCTGATTTCGTCTTCTGGTGATAGAGCGATCCAAAACTTCGCGCCTCAACTGTGCAAGAGTGCTTTGGACAGCAGGGTGTGCCTTCACGGAGGGACCATTCCAGTCGCATCTCCCGAGCGTCATTGAAGTACAGTGGAAAGTGTAGGAAAATCACTGCTAAAAAAGGAGCCAGAAATATGGACCAAAAACTAGTCAAATTTGAAGGAAAAGTGTTGTTGTTGTCTCAATAGACAAAAAAGTTGTCTTAATAGACAGTGAATTCATCAAATGACTGCATGAGGCCTTGTTAAGGTTCGGCGACCCCAGAAAGTACTGAGCCTGCGTTATCTTTTTTATCATGCGGTCGATTGTTTTGCTAAATTCCTTTTTGACATCTAGGAGCCTAAGCGAGGCACTATCGCATTCCTATCCAATTCCCTATCGCATTACATGATAGGGAATTATCCACACCTTAGTGGGCTCAAAGGTCATGTGTTTATAGTGTATAGTTTTAGGTCTTATATTTCAGGACGCGGCACAGTGGGGATACACAGTGCGGAAAATAGCGTAAAATGTTGAATTTGCCGCTTCATCAGTTTTGTATACCTCCCCCCTCCATCTCAGCTTGACGCACTTTGGAGTCTCTAGGGCGGTGTTGGAAAGCGAGTAAGGTAAAAACCGCTCTAGCAACTTTGCTAACATTGGCCACGACGATGAGAAGAAGTTGGGTAGTGCTTGAATGAGGGGTCGTACCCGCTGAGCTTTCATCGACACGGGTCTATTTGCCGTGGGTCTATTTGTATTGAGGAGAAAAATGAGCCTTCGTCATTTTTTGTATTTGTCATATTTTCAAGTCTGCATTCATAGTTGGCAGGGTATATAACCTTCTTGAAAACCTTAACCTTAACCTATCCCTAATAATAACCTTTCCCTTCGTCAACAAAAGTGTGCCACTACTTTTCGAGAAAAAAATGCAATTTCTCTTTCTGTGAGCTTTGCGCATCTGCCGCGAGGCCTGAAAAATTTATTTCGAATAACGTTTCGACCCTCACCACCTTCAAAGGCCTAAACTTTCTTGCCTAAGGCTTAATAATCAGCCCCACCAAATACCTCATCGCTTCCAAGGTTTCTGATAACGTCGCATGGACGCAAGGGAATCCCCACTTGAAAAATTA